TCAACTCACACCAACAAAATGCAATCACTGCCAAAGATTGAGGTGAAGAATGACCTGAAGTAAGCTCATTAATATTTAACTAGATTTGATATTATATCAGCCTTCACGAACATGTTTCAAACCTTAAAAACTGCATAAAACAAGTAGCATATTATGTATATCCCTACATTATTAAGGGAAATAAATCTCGTAAATTCCGCTACTTGTGTGGGAATCTTGTGGGATAAGTAGTCCTTAATATACAGTTAGCCTACATCAAGAGAGATAAAATAGTGTGTTCGTAGGAGATCAGCAGAGCTTAGCCATACATGCCTCATGTGAAGAGTCCCGAAAAGATTTGCTTTTACATGAGAAAAATACACTGGTGTTCTGATTAAAGTCAGACGAACAGGGCACAGAATAAATTGGAAAACATTTCAGGTTACATACCTCAATATAGCCGGCCAGCGCTGGAACCACAATGCCCAAAATAAGGACAGATATCGCCGGGACTGAACCCATCATCCAGAATCTCCGGTTATTCTACTGTAAATAAACTTATATCCTATATGTGTAAGGCGACGTCCCGGAGAATAATGAGCAAACCAAGTCCTGATAATCTATCCTGGAGAGCGCAACGAGTCCTGCTGCGCTTGTTTTGTTACGCGAGGTCGACACAAAATGTTGGAGAGAGATGAGTGTCGGTCTCCTTTGGAAATGTGGACTGTGAGTCTGTGGCGCGGCTGCTGAGACTCTGCTGCCTCCTCCCTTCTCAGGCTCATCTGATCCACACAGCGCATTGCGCCACCAGGCGACCGGCTGCAGGGGCATCCACCCTGAAACAAGTTCCACACAGTAGGTTAACATTAATCATAATATCCAGGCTACATAATAATGTCTGTTTTATGGGCTGCAGTAGAAGGAGCCTATATTCACTCAAGTAACCTACTGCACTTAAGTACACAGTTGTGGTACTTCCTTGTGTACTTCCATTTATATGCTTAATTGACATTATAAATAACACTGCATAACACATGCTTTTGATAGGCTACTTTAGTGGATTTAGGTTAACTTTATTGTCCCCAGGGGGAAATTCTGCTTGGGCACAGTGCAGTGTTGCTTCATAAAAAACAAAAGACATCAACAAGAACCTGAGAGGCATTGATGCAATGTTGTACTTCACAAGAGGGAAATATAAACACAGACGAAAAAGGACATTGTTGACAACATAGTTCCATTTTGATGATAATAATTTTGTACTTTCCGCAACACTCTTATAGGGGCCATTCTGAATAGGCTACAACTACACATATGACATTGCTTTTATAATTGTAGCACAGTTTTGGAAGAAGTATTCTGATTCTTTACTTGAGTAAAGGTGACAATACAGTATAAAAATACTCCTTTATACAAGTAAATGTTTCCGTTCAAAATGTGTAAAAGCATTATCAGCAAAACTTAGGCTACTTAAAGAATCGAAAGCATTTGCTATGCAGAAAGATTGCTCCTGTGATATTACATGTTTTATTATTTGATTATTATGACTGATGCATTCATGTGTAAATAGTTTAGAGTTTCCTTAACTGATCATTTTTAACCTTTTAAATTTGATCTCTCTGATTAAAGTGCCTCATATTTAAGAAGATTATCTTATGTTTTCTTAATCTTAATCAGCATAGTAGCTAGGAAATATAGATGTCAAATAAACATAGTGGAGTTAAAAGTACAATATTTACCTTACAGCTGTCATTTGCAGAGTAATTTTATACATTCAATCAGCTTATACAATATTAGGCACTGTTATAAACAGAACATCAACTACTGAAGAGGCCTTGAAACAAGAAATTCCCCGAGCACAGCAACAACAATCAGGTGCTGGTAGATAGCAGGATAAATCTATGAAAAATCAAAAAATGTGTGCGGTAGTTTGTTTTTTTGATTTTTAATGAATAGGCCTATTAATTATTGGTTGATTATTTCAATTGCTTGACAAACAGTCCAAAACTCAAAGATATTCCATTTATAATGATGTAAAAAAGAGAAAAGCATAAACTTCTAACATTGGAGAAGCTTTTACTTCTGATTTCTGCACGGTATATTTCACTGTTAATATTTATTTAATTTAAATTTTTTAATTTAAAAGTTGCAGGACTTTTACTTGCAATGAGGGATTTTTATAAGGTGGTATTCCTGTCTTAACTAAAGACTCTGAATATTTTTTCCACCACTGCAAAGATGACAAAAAAAGGTAGAACATCACCGCTCCACTGTTGATGGTAAAATATCCGACAGCCCTTGAAGTAGTAGAACCTTCACCTCCACTAAGAGGTGTCTGTTGTTTACTGCTGAAGTTCCTGCTTGTTTGTGAGTGGTATTTAAGATGCCACCCCCCCCCCCCAAAAAAAAACCATTTGATGTCTAATTGGTTGTATTAATAATGAAATTCCACAACCCTCACACTCATTTATTTTCTCAACAGATTGTTATTTGTATTTCTCTCTGATGACTTATTGAAAAAGAATTTGATCTTTGCTTCAGGCAGCACACTCAGAGTGGTTATTCATTTCTGAAATAACTGCCGTTGGACGTGTTAGAACAAGTTGAATTTGGGCGTTAAGTCTAATCTTAGGATGTGTTAATTTGACACCTCAGTAAAAAGGTCTCAGGAAAAAAACAGAGCATTAACTTTATGTTTTAGCTCCCCAGGTAACAGAGGTCCAGTGAGAATATGTTATACTCTATTTAAGGGTTACTTCACCTTTTCTTTGACTATAGCAAACAAGTAGGTGAATATGTGATGCTTGTTTTTATTTACTTCATTTATTGACTTTTATCTAAACAGAGCCTTGAGCTACATGGTGATCCTAAACAAAACACCCTTTTGTAATTTTCTAGATTAATTTTTCTTAAAAAACTAAATCTAAATCAGCCTTAGCGAAACAACATACCCATACATTTAGTCAACTCACAGTGAACTCTAAAAACACACAGTATCCATCAGGTTTCCCCAAATAACTCCACTGGCACTATACTGCAGGATATAGCCTGCACAATTGCAAGCAGAGCCTTCACAGAGCATTATCAGATAGGACAACATAGGAAAGGACTAATGTGAACGTTCAGATACATTCAGATTACTTGACCTCCTTTGGTTTTGCTTCAGGAAAAGGTTGATCTGAAAGTAAGCTTGATTTACAATTTGTTAACTTATCTTCTTATTTTATTTATTTACTTATCGGCCTTAACTTATCATATGTGAAAGGGACTTCATTGTATGTTCAAGTGTCCTATAAGCTTCCTGAGGGAGTTTGTCTACATTATGCTGATTTTAGTTTCAATATGAAGTTTATATTGTGAACCAGACCTACTACAGGTAACAGCACTCTCTTACGTGGTCTCACTCATTCTCATTCTCCTTTTCATCTTCTTTATCTCTTTTTATACAGACAAACTTCTTTAGGCTACCTTTTCTTCTAATAATGTCTTTTCTGTTGTTTTTTGTGTACTTTCCTATTGTCATTCTGTATGAGTGCAAAATCATGACTGATGAGTGTCCTCCAGTGCTCACCGTGCGTAACTACACGTAACCCTAACCCTTGATTCACTTTGAAAGTATTCACCAGAACATTCAGTATACTGTTTGCTTGGTTGTTGATAGGCGATAGGCTGCCTTTAACTATTATGAGCAGCCACATTGCCCTCATATCGTCATAGTGAGTAACCACACTGTTCAGTGTATTTATTTTCAGGGTTTCAAAACAAAGGCCTTCATAGGCCCAATGATTTCTGATTATTTATTTATGTTTCTTTATTTTTATGGCTTTGTGCTCAGTATGTGATTTGTAGCCTACTGTTTGTACTTTGTTACCAACTTGATATTGTATTGGCCAGATTTGATATTTAAGCTATTAAATAATTTAAAAAAAAGTATCATCTCCGGTTGCTTGAGTTTGATTTCATTTAATGTGAAAGTATTCACCAGAAGTGTGATATCATGTCTGCATTGACGGTTTCACAAATTGCATTTTGCAGTTCCACAATGCTACTAAATAATAGGAGATCAACGGTCACGGTCACTTATGAACATATGGAAGAATTGGTTCTTGAAAATCTCCTCTATGTTGAAACAAACGACTTAAAACCTCATTGATTACTGGACTTGTTTATGTTGATTGAGAATCTGTCACTTGATTTATTTTAGGGCTGTTAACATGGTGCAGGGCTTTATATAGTTTGATTGCATGTACATTATTAATAAATACTATTAGTTCCAAAATGATTATGTATCCTATTGATACCTGTAGGCCTAAATATTATAAATAATTGTTAGTTGCGATTGCTCCAGTTTGACGACTGTATTTTGAAAGTATTCACCGGAAGTCTTGGGTAAGTATACTGTAATGCCCCCGCAACAAACAAGAAAACAAACAACAAAAATATAAACATTTATAGTATAAATTAAGCCAACAAAAACTAACAGTAGATCAAGAAACTTCTTTGGACAACAGGTTTAATTTAATTGGACGATTTCGGTGTTTCATTTTCCTGATCGGCTGTACTAAAATTGATCATTAAGTTATAACCACGACTGATAAAAAGTTGGCGGTAACATCGTAACTGTTATTTAATTCTGCAGAGTGTAAACTGTTTCATGAAGAATATACTTTAAATTATTTGCTTTTGCTCCCCGAGTAAATAACCACCAATCATCAGCCACCCTCCTGTGTGTTGCTAGGCAGATTATGTTAATATATGCAATGCAGCCATCTCTGCAGCTACCATTCTGAGGTAAGAACAACTTGTACGCTGTCCACAAAATGTAAGAAAACTAGGAGGTGCTTCACGGCCAGATGTATAGCTCGACTTCTCGGTAGTCTTTCTGCTTATAGAAATTAAACCGACGGGTTGTTTTAGCGCATTTGTACCAGTAGAAAATATATATTTTTCTTTGGGTCTCTTCGGATGTGGTTGTTGTTGTTAGTCCCACCCAAAATGGAGCCCGTTCTTCCTTGTTCACGGTAGACTTGAAGGGCTGGGCTCAACTAGAATGGGGGGACGGGTGGATCTACCCAAATAATAACGGCTTTTACTGCCTCCAAAACCACCTTTGTTAAAAATCGCAGAATATGGTCCACGTCTTTGGACTTGACAAGTTATGTTTGGCTTCAAGGTCGACCCCACATTGCGACTATATGGCTGTAATGCTAATGTTGCGGTGCAGTAAATGCCCGGGTTTCTATAGCGCTGTTTTTTGTGGTATGGTCCAGTTGGGACTGAGAACCTGCGGGGTTAAAATAGGGGGGAATCGACTTCATTATTGATTATACCAACTACATTTCTGAATGAGTTTAGAGTGTCGTGATTTTTTACGGTGGCTTTTGTTCCGACATGCGGTTGTATTTAGACACCGTTTGCCGGGCGGCCTCGTCAGCAAACGATGACCGCGTTTTTCCTCGTACCCCCGCAGAGAGTCTTGTGTGACCGCTCGTGTTCATGTCCTGTCAGCCGAGCGAAGCTGTCTGTCTGACTGGAGACCCAAAATCTCGGTTGCAGATGGCACGTGGGGTTGAATTCAGTGCCACTTTGCTGAGAGATTGCTGCTGCAGTGCCTCATTGTTGCAGACAAACAGCTCCCCCCCCGGCATGAGATTAGTGCAGACCATACACATTTAGACATTTTTCATAATGTTAATTTTTGACATGATGCATCAAGACATCTAATGTTTACATCTGCCAGTCTCAAATTCATATTAAAATTAAAAACAGCCATCCTTATTTTACTTTATTATCACCATGTTGCATTATTATTATTGTTGAGATCACCCACATCCTCTTATCTGTGTGAATTACAGGCATCCTTGGCTCTCTCCAGAGTGAAGTGATAGGTGACACGCTTGGCCAGAGGCCTGGCACCGTGCTGCCATGGAGACCAAGCAGGAAGCCTCTGCTGTGTGGAGTCAGACTGCTAGCAACGATTCAGAAAACGGCACACAGGTCTGCTGTCCTGTCAGAACCGTCCTTGGACTGCACTATAGAGTCATAAGCAATACAAAAGGATGCAGTACATTTGATACATCAGAGGACAAATTAAGCATCTCATAGGGAAACTTGCTTCTGTGAACTGATCCTAGTTGCTGCTAAATCTCAAAATTCACTGTTTACTTTTATGGTTTTAGCTAATAGAGTGATTCCACAGATGATTCCTTATCCTCCAAAAGGACTTGAGGAGGACAGAATCTCATAACACATAGAATAATTTGTTCAACAGTAGATTTTTAAAAAGTCACAGTGTAATAATGCTGCAGGTGGTTCAAAACGTTTTGTGTCCTGTGCACACATGTTACAGGTGCATTTCGAAGGCGGTACAGTGGCCCAGATAGTGTACAGTGGAGATCAGGTGGACCGCGGACAGCAGCAGGTGGTTTACACAGCAGACGGGAACTCCTATACCTCCGTAGAATCTGCAGAGCATACACTGGTCTACATACACCCTGCAGATGGCACTCAGGTAAGAAGGAATCTTATTTATAGCAAAGATATTTAAGCTGAGATTTTAAGCATTAAGATGACACTTGTAATTAGAAAAACATGCACTGATGAACAGGTGGGGTTCAAATGTGACGTCTAGTAGCTAAAACCCAGCATTTTGTGGGAATGTCATTCATATTTGGAACTTTTTTTAAATTAAAAACAGTATTGTAGTATACTTTATTGTTTCAAATGTACAAAGTATACATAAAATTCATATATAAAATGTATAACATGATGCACTTGCCTGCAAGATGTGCTCACATCAATTTTTCTTTCAGACTGTATTTGCTGATCAGCCACAAGTGGCTTATATTCAGCAGGATGGTACGACTCAACAGGTGAGTTGACCAGGTGCTGTCATGTCATTACCTAACTTTGTACCACCTGTTTCTTATTAAAGTAATATAATCTTATTTGTAGGTCACAGTTTTGCTGCCCAGTGGACAGAACATGAATGCTGCTAATCTGCATGTTCTCAGTAATGTAGCAGAGGCTCCCCAAGCTATCCTGGAGCCAGTTTCCCAGGTGAGGACACCTTGTTTACCTTTCCAAACAAGAAAATAGTCTATTGTTGTTTTAACACACATTATGGAATACAGTAAGGGGAAAAAGCAAACATGAGCCCAAATGCTTTTGTGCTGTATTTACACTATGATAGCAAAAGCATTTTTATTTTGTTCCAGTAGGTCAGTGGTCTAACTTGGTACAGTTTAAATGTGATCTATTCCTTTTTATGTAGATTTTTGTTGCATTGTTACATGTGAACAAGCCAAACATGCACTTCTCAGTGTCTTCCATGTAAAGATAAATAGAGCAGTTTAGTGAGTATGAACTCTGTGAAATTATCATACACGCACAGGAGCAGCTGTCTGCTTCCAATTCACTCGCCTCCATGGCTGACATGGCGGACCCCCCCACCAGTCCCCTTGGGGCCACAGACTCAACGGACGATTCTGACGAGGATGAGGATGAAGACTCTGATATGGACGACTGGGAACCTCGTGAGCATCAATCATTCAACCCTCACAGCCTCTGTGAGTAAAATGACAGTCTTAATACACTCAGCTCTCTGACTTGGCACTGACCTGTGTTTTGCTGCATCCTTTATACATAAATCTCAACATAAAGTAAACAAACAACAAACTAACATACTTAAAAAATACTACTGCCTTTTGACTGAAATTCTGCCAAATTTCTGCACTTCAAAATGTTTTTCTTAATAAGCAATTTAATCTCAAATTGTGTTATACAAATCTGCCAATGGGTCAAGATAACTTGATATAATCAACTCATCTATTATCTTTAAGGGGAGAGACCAGTACCATTCTAAGTTACTGCCACTTATTCTGTTTTTTTATTGAATTCATTTTGAACCATGTTGTCTCAGTAATATTTTAAAATGAAAAGCTTCATAGTGATAGTGTTTGTCAGATTGTGCAGGTCCTCTTAATCTGTTTAATCTGTTTTCACATTTATATCTGTTGTGGTGATTCTGCCTGATTGATTTCTCCTTTCTGTGGCCTCTCAGGGTGTGAGGAGTGTAATAATGCCAACCCCTCTGTGTGTCTGAAACACGGCCCTCTGCACCCCATCCCCAACCGGCCGGTGATGTCCAAAGCCCGGGCCAGCCTGCCTCTGGTCCTCTACATTGATCGTTTCCTGGGCGGGGTGTTCTCCAAGAGACGCATCCCAAAGCGCACGCAGTTTGGTCCGGTGGAGGGACCCCTGGTTCCTCAGAGCGAACTGCAGGAACACTACATTCATCTGAAGGTAAATCAGCGCTCTGCATGATTAATTTCACCTCTATTACATCCATATTCTGTATTAAGAAGAGTTTCCCATTGTACCTGAAACCTCTATTTTTGCCCTGTTTATTAAATATAAGGTATAATACAGGAAAGTGCTGGGAAAAAAATTTGTGTTGCAAGCATGTGCTGTCTAAGGTTACACTCTTTCAGTCTGATCTCCAATCTTTTTTTTGCTTGTTGTCTCAGCTGTGCATGCTGGATGCAGAGAAAGATGGAGAAAAGTCCAACGACATGTGGTTGGACCTTTCTGATGAGGACAGCTGCAACTGGATGATGTTTGTGAGACCTGCTCAGACCCACCTGGAGCAGAACCTGGTGGCCTATCAGTACGGCTCAGAGATATTTTACACAACCATCAAGAACATCCAACCCAAACAAGAGCTCAGGGTCAGTCCTGTGTGGTGCATTTTGTGTGTTGTGTTGCGTATACAGTACACTCATTTGTCCTGCTTCAGATGATGTAGTGTATGCTTTTCCATGGAATGTGCAAAGTAATGAAACAAAGTTTTCACTCCAGTCCAGCAGAGTATAGTTTAGTTAGCGACTAGTTGGTGAGGAAAGCCACATCTGAGTCCCAGTACATAAATGTCTAAATAAGCTTTAATAATTTGTGTTTTTAATGATGTGTCTTCCTGCAGGTATGGTATGCGGCATCATATGCAGAGTTTGTCAATCAGAAGATCCACAATGTTACAGAAGAAGAGAGAAAAGGTGAGTCTCTGCACGTGCTGACTTTGCTTAATAACAACACCATGTCTCAGCCCTGCTGTGATGGCACGTATCCGACTACAAACTGTCCCTGGTCCTCACTTTCTGTTGTTCCTTCAGTGCTCCGGGAGCAAGAGAAGAACTGGCCATGTTACGAGTGTAACCGCCGCTTTGTGAGCTCTGAACAACTGCAGCAACATCTCAACATGCATGATGACAAGTTAAACTCTGTTACCAGGTACAACCTTTTTCATCACCTTATTTTATATCTTGTCCTTCATTTGTGTCTCAGTAGAGCTCATATGACCTGTTCACTGTTTCTTTCCTCTCTCAGATCCAGAGGCCGGGGTCGAGGAAGGGGCAGGAGGAGATTTGGGACAGGAAGAAGACCGGGACGCCCGCCTAAATTTATACGACTGGATCCACCAGTAGACGCTGTTGGGGACAAGACAACGGTAAGACACATTAATACATGCTTAGCTGATTAATCGATTACTTTAAATTGTGATTTACATTTTACACATTCATTTCTCCCATTTTATCAACCGTATGATTAACTGAAATTGATTCAACAGATTAACCTGTAATGAAATAATTGTTAGTAAGTTGCAACCATAGTGCATATAATATTAGATTTGCCATTAAACAATAAATGGAAAATGTACTTATACAGTTATCTAAGAGCAAAGTAATAATACAGAAGAAAATATAAATGAGGGTTGTCAAAAAATATTGAATTATAATAAATAAAACGAGCTGTGTTGAAGTGTTTTTAGCTTATGACAACATTCTTTTTTCAATAACCACATTTTAATGACCTTTTTAATCAGGAGATGCTTGAGTTGACGGAGAAGCCGCTGGAGGAGCGAGCGGAGGGAGCTCAGAACGGGCTGAAGGTGGTGGAGATGGAGCCCGAGGTGGAGACTGGGAATGAGGCAGAGGGCCAGCTTATACCTCCTGCGGGGGAACCGGTCCCAGAGTCCGTCAGCCCCCCATCCAACACGGACCTGTCAGTTTCACTTAAGGACGATCCGGCACAGAGTAGCCAATCAGATGCCCACCTCACATCTCAGGACATGCGTCGAGCCAAGAGGATACGGGTAAGACTGGACACTGTGTTCACTAAAATGTTTTATGTAGTTTGTTATTCTGTGTCATAGTGGCCATGCTTTGCTTTTACAACAGTGTGTCTCTCTTCCTCAACGCGTGCGTTCCTCAAAGGTGGATGTGCAGGTAGGTGAGACCTGGAGGATGGCAGAAAAACACACCTTTTGTCGTTTTCCATAGTGTTATGTTCATGTGACATTTCAGGATATGTCCCCTCCTGCACACTCCATTGCATCTATCAGCCTCTTGCCATGTCTCAACAGATCCATGTCAGAAAACACTGTTGGGATTTTCTGCTAGAAGTTCCTCTTTCTGTCTTTTCCATCTCAGAATGCAGCACTGCAGCACCTTTTCATCAGGAAGAGTTTCCGTCCTTTTAAATGCACCCACTGTGGCAAGGCTTTCCGGGACAAAGACAAGCTGGATCAGCACCTGCGGGTCCATGGGCGAGATGCCTACACCTTTTCCTGCCACATTTGCAGCAAGAGCTTTATGAGTGACTCAGCCCTGGAGGACCATCTGCTGGTGCACACGGAGAACCGGACCTACTCTTGTCTCTTATGCCCAGAAACGTTTGAAAAACTGGAAATGCTCAAAGACCACGTAGGAGTGCATGCTGTAAATGGCTGCTTCACCTGTCCTTCCTGCAAGAAAACATTTACGGACTTCATCCAGGTTAGCATGTGATGTAACCAAAACCATTTAGGGGAGCACATGGGAAGTTGATTTTGCAGGTTAAAACTAAGCAAAGGAACAGTCTGGTTTAAAATGGTAAATTGACACATTTACTCAAAATGTTGTCTCCCTTAGGTGAAGAAGCACATCCGCTGCTTCCATTCAGAGAAGGTCTTTCAGTGCCCAGACTGTGAAAAGGCCTTCTGCCGGCCGGACAAGCTGCGTTTGCACATGTTACGCCACTCTGACCGCAAGGACTTCCTGTGCTCAACATGTGGCAAACAATTCAAGGTAAGATGAGTAGGGGGCGCATTGAGAGATTACATTTGGTCATGTTAATTTAAAGGCATGTGAGTTCTTGTGTGACTAATATTTTCCTTATGTGACATCAAGAGGAAAGATAAGCTGCGGGAGCACATGCAGCGCATGCACAATCCTGACAGAGAGGCCAAGAAAGCTGACAGAATCCATCGCTCCAAATCCCTCAAACTGAAGATGCCCACCACCGACTTTGAGAGCTTCATGTTCAAATGCAGAGTGTGCATGATGGGATTCAGACGCAGGGGAATGCTGGTGAGCAACAACTCACAGAACACTTTTATTTGTTAATATTGAATTCCAGTACACTTAGCTTTATTTTTCTGGTTACAGGTCAATCATTTGTCCAAGCGTCATCCAGAGATGCGGATTGATGATGTGCCTGAGCTAACGCTGCCAATTATCAAGCCCAACAGGGATTACTTCTGCCAGTATTGTGACAAGGTTTGTTTTTCTCATCCTGTCACAGTGAATTTTGGAAAAGACATGTTGTTATTATTTATCTAATGATTCTAATTAAACTTCCCACTTCACCTCAAACTCTTAACTTAGGCTTTCAGTATGATGTTATTAATAAATTGATCTGTGCAGGTGTATAAGAGTGCCAGCAAGAGGAAAGCCCACATACTAAAGAACCACCCCGGGGCAGAATTGCCTCCTAGCATACGTAAGTTGCGTCCGGCTGCTCCTGGTGAGCCAGACCCCATGTTGAGCACACACACCCAGCTGACTGGCACGATCGCCACTGCACCAGTCTGTTGCCCACACTGTGCCAAACAGTACAGCAGCAAGGTTAGTATGAAGCTCTGTTAAATAAGGTATTTTACCTCATTGGAAATCTGTATAAACACTAATACAGATATTGACTCTAGGTCTGTGTTTGCAGTAATTATGCTGTGTCTTGGACAGTCCCATACCCCAACTAATAACATTCTGTGTGCTTGTATCTCAGACTAAGATGGTTCAGCACATCAGGAAGAAGCATCCAGAGTTTGCCCAACTCGCCAACGCCATCCAGGCTCCTCTGACTACAGCTGTAATCAGCAGTGCTCCTGCTGTCATCAGTGCAGACGGTACCACAGCTGAGGCTGTAGTGGTAAGAAAGATTTACAAACATACATGTTAAACACCGACACTCATCACATCATCAAGCAAGAATGACAGACAGGACGAAAGGAAGGTCAACTAATATACACCAAATATTAAAATCTGTATGACTTTTTTTCTCCACAGACCACAGATTTGCTGACCCAGGCCATGACGGAGCTTTCTCAAACGCTGACCACAGACTTCCGCGCAGCACAGGGAGACTATCAGAGGATCCAGTACATACCCGTGTCTCAGGCAGGAGGCAGCCTGTCCCAGCCGCAACATATTCAGCTGCAGGTGGTGCAGGTGGCTCCGGTAAGATCCAGCATCTAGGACCTAGATTTGTTTAATTTTCTTAACTTAGTGTATCCCAGGAGCTTTCTGAGCATCTCAGCAACATCCTGATGTACAATCACAGTTATACACTGCCTGGCAGTAGAGCTAGAAGAATTGATTGTCTTCTCAAATTTGCTGCCGTTTTCTGTTTTATATAATGTCAAATTGAATGTCTTTGAGTTTGATCTTCCTGGTCTGCACAAAATAAACAATCTGAATGTGTCACCTTGGGCTCTGGGAATTTGTGATGAGCTTTTTCCCACTATTTTCGTTTAGGTAGGATTTAAAAAAATCACAAGCCAGTATCAAAGTTCTGGCAAATTACTGCTTTGCCATGTAGCTTTCAAACATATCAGCAGGTAAACTACCTTTTTATTTTCTGAAGTAGCTTTTTGTTTTTTTTTGTTTTTTGTTTACCAATTTTATGAAATATGTCCAGTTGTGGATTGAGGAAAATTTAAGAAAAAGTAACAGGTAGTAATTTTATCTGTTTCACAGGCTTCCTCCCCACATTCACAGCACCCGACAGTAGATGTGAGCCAGCTGCATGACCCTCATGGCTACAGCCAGCACTCCATCCAGGTACAACACATCCAGGTCAGCGAGCCTTCAGGCACTGGACAAGGTGCCACCCAGGTAAATCCACATTATTCTTACAATGGGCTTAGGTTTATTAGAAATTTATAACACGTAATGACTTTATGACACACGTTGTTGGGTATGTAATGTTAAGCTTGATAATAGAATACCTACTTATGACCATCTCTTCATTTTCTTCAGGTCACAGGTCAGCCTTTAAGTCCCACCTCCCAACAGCCTGGTCAGGACCTGAGCCCCACCCAGCTGACCCCTGTGACCTTAGCTCAGAGCCACACCTTGCAGACCAGTAGCACCCAGCAGCAGCAGCAGCAGCAGCAGCAGCAGCAGCAGGGGACTGTGCAGCATGCTTACATACCTGGGAACTGGAACTACAGAGGCTACTGTGAGTCACACACATGCTCCAATATCATCCACGCACACTCTATATGTTTTAATGGCTCTATACTGTATGATTGCCTGTTAGGTTAACATGTAAATGTTACTGTTGCAGCATCTGAGATCCAGATGATGGCTCTACCTCATGCTCAATATGTGATAGCTGAGGCTAGCACACCTGTATCTGGTGTCAACAGCAACCAGGTGAAAACGGTGAGTGAAAATGAAAAGCTATGATTCAGTTTCATTTTTTTTCACTGTGGTCACACATCCTGACAAAAGATCAAATGTGAAGATCTAAAAATGACTGCCCACCACATGAATATGCAGTAGAAAAATCAGATCCTGAAGCTTGAGACTTTTGTGGGACTTGTGTTTAAACACATCAGAATTTCACAGATCCCTGTTACAACAAATACAACTTAGGTTGTAGAATCCATAACCTAGAAAATGTTTTTCTTTAAATGAGCATTTTTAGTTCTGTGTTTACTCTAAACTGCAACTAAATAATTATTGTTATAATAAGGTCCCATGATGTGGCTAAATTACACCTGTAATCTGTTTCCTTACTGAGTGAGTCTGATGAAGCACATGTGAAGTGCGTTTTGTTTGCTTTTCCAATACGAGAAAATATAGAAATAAATTACTGTTGCTCTGCATACACATCTTTTAGAAACATGGCAGTGTGGTGCCAGGTGGGAGTCCTTGAGAATAAGAGAGCAAATATTCTGTATTAAACATGGTATGAACTGAATCTCTACTTGTGGAACTAAAGATGTTCTCATTCCGGTCCTGCAGACACACTACGTTATTTCTGAGGGTCAGACTGAGCTGGAGACCAAACAGACTGTTCCTCAGAACACAACCCAGGCACACACTGAACATCTGGAGCAGCAGCCAACCAATCAGCAACCCACCACACAGTACATTATCACCACAACCACCAATGGCAGCGGCACTAGTGAAGTTCATATCACAAAACCCTGAACTGTACAGAGATGCAAACCCAGCGGAGACCCATGGACTGATCCTGCATGTAGACCTCAGCAGCTTGTACGCACATAAACGAACAAACAAAAGTCATATGCACATGGATACAGACTTATGTACACACAGAGCTAATGGGTATAAATTGATGACCAGCACAGTTTTATGTGTCTATAAAGTCTTAAAATATTAAATAAGCTGGTAAAATTAAGTTAGTAGAGAGAAAAATGCAAGGTTTTGATTTTGAACGGAATATTTTAGCAACAAATATAAAACTCAACCCTTGTTTTGTAAAGTGTAATTTTTTTTTCAGAAACATTTTCATTGAAATTGCTTAAAACAGTGGACATTATATCATTATACCAAATATTGCGAAAGTATGGAAAATTAAAGTGATCATCTTACTGTGTGAGTTAAGAGTCTGAAGTGGTGGAAACATTTTGTTGCTCAGTCCTTACGCAGCTTTGAGTGCCCATTTTACATATTTGTATAGTTACAGAAATTTCTTCAAGTGTAGTATTTGTAAACAAAAGTCTGTAAAGAAATACAGAACTGAAAAATATATATATATAAAGTTGACCTTCTAAAGGTAATTTTTGCCCAATGTGAGTATCCAACAACACAATCTGTTATATTGTATATTACCATATTGTTGATGATATCTGATGTGATTTTTCTCCATTCATTTCCTTTTTGGGATGTCTCAGACATCCGTTTATGTTTACATGCGGAATTTCCCAACAATCTTTTTGTCATTGTCCCAACAACACCTGTGTTTTTAAAATAACATTAAGAAAAGCAGACTTAATCAGTTTCCCGCTCCCTCAATGCTACCGAGGGCTTTGGTTGTTAAGAATGTTTTGCTTTTCATTAGGTTTTACAAGGATCACACAAAGTACTCATGGATACACTCAACCTAAAACTTGGGGAAAATTTTGTTTTTGACACCAAAAGTTTATCATCAAAGATTTAATGGCGCCAGAAATCAAGAGTAACATAGCACCAGACTGAGAAGAAGTGTTTCACTGCCCTCTCTGGTTGAAAGTTTCAAGTGTGTTTCACCTCTGATGCTAGGTATGGTTGGATGTTGTCAGAAATGTGCTTTGTTTAACCACACCCAGCAACGATGTCACAGGGTCCTGGAGTTCCCCTGTACATCAATGCAGCAAGATGAGAAGTTAAACCCCTGGAGGTCAGGATAAACAACTTTCTGGGGGTGTTAAGTTTCTGTTAAAAAAAGAACAATGTGCATTTTCAGAGTTTCTTTCTTTCCGTCATACTTGTTATTCTGAAGAGAAAAATATAATTTTTTTACATTTGAAACCAGAGCAAAACAGCAACCAGCAAACTCTGTCTTAACAGGTGTAGAAACCTTTGGCTTAGAGCCAAATACAAAATGTGTTTTCCTCAGTTACATACTTGATGACAAATGACTAAAGTTCAAAATATTTAGTCATAACATCACGTGTTACAATAGAAATATTTAGAGAAAACATCACAGGGTTGCACCTGCTGCGTAGGAGTTTAATATGATGCTGTGTTTAAGTGTGATATGGGCTTATGTCACTGTATTCATCTGTTTACTGGCCTACAAAAGAAATCGCAAGTACTTCATTTTGGGTTGGTACTTAAAGGGCAGCATACTCATTACTCATTTTTACTAAGGTAAAAACCAGTAAGGGATGTTGTCAGTCAGCATGTCTCATATTTCCTTCACAGTAAAAGTGAGGACGGAGAACGAAACTCGGTAGGAAGAGTTCAAACCTGTCACCTGTCCTACTGGACACTGTTCATGAGCAAGGAATGGCCGGTGCTGAAACTTATCTTCCAAGTACTTTTGGTAGCTTTTAGATTTCCGTTAAGTGCTTGTGCTTTGTGTTCCCCATGATGACAACAGAGGTTAATGCACTGAATTAAGGCCATTGTAAAACGTTGTTTAGGCGCCCGTTATTTATGTTGGTCTATGACAATAGATTTGTACAATATAACATATAGCAGGAATATTATAAAGGTTCATGTACAGCGATTCCTACTGTTGCAAGTTTTTTTGTCCTTTTGTTCAAATGTTGTGAAATTAAATTATTTTATATCTGTACATTGTGTTTCCTAGTCACTTCATTATGAATGTGTTGAACTGTGGAGCAAGCTGTGACCAAACAAATTCGTAGTGTCTATTCAGGTTAATTGATCTCACCCACATCCGGTTGAGGCAGTGGCCACCCACCCTGAACCATGGTTCTGCTAGAGGTTTCTGCCTCTTAAAAGGAAAATTTTCCTTGCCTATGTTGACTAGTGCTTGGTCTTACTGGGAATCGTCAGGTTTCTGTAAATAATATCACAGAGCACAGAGTACGGTCTAGTCTGCTCTTTTGTGAAAAGCGCTGTGAGATAACATGTTTTTATTTGGTGCTATATAAATAAAATTGAATTGAATTAATTGGAGGTTAATTTGTCTGGATGTTATTCTTGTTCTCACTGCTAGATGGCAGCATGGCCTCAGAAAACAAACTAGTTATACAGCATTTTAAGTGAAATAACAATGGCAGACAGAGAACACACAGAGTCAATCTTAATTATGTCTGAGTGTTAATGATTTAAAATGGGCACTCTTCCATTTGTAAACCTCTTTCTTGTGAGGATGAATTTGATGCCAACAGGTTGTTTGCATGGTGTGATCTAATAATAGCTCAGTGTTAAGTGTGTGACAGTAATTCAGAAAGAAAGAATTGACTGTTGGAGGGGACCTGGGCGGAGCAAGGCTTGTCCTCCGCACAATTGTGATCATTATGTTCAACACATTCCTGCAAGGACAAGTAAATGGCAACTACCTAGATAAAACTTCTTCTTCTTCCAGTAGGACCAGTTTAACAAGCTTGTCATGTCACAGAACTAATCACTAATTGAGCAGGTGTTACTGCTCTGCAGCCGTTTCAACCAGCATGTCTGTGTCTGTGTCTGTGTCTGTGTCGCTCCCATGCCTCGGTTGACAGTTGCCTACCCCAAAGGTCAAGGGGGTAGAGGACAGAGAGAAAGAGGCGGCTTGGCCTGTAAATGGATGGAGGAGGTAAAGGAGGACAGTGAGGGAGTGACTGCTGAGGGGAGCCGAAGACATCAGAGGTAGGTAGATGTGTTTGTCTTTCAACAACTGGCCTTTCATTTGAATCACCTTTAAAAGACATGTCTCTGATTACCTGCTGCTACAGAGAGGAGAAGTCTGTGTGAAAGGATGGTCCTAGTAAATTTCTCTGCTGTGTTGACAGCAAATGCTTCTCTACTTCCATAAGGTAGATATTTATCAACATGTCACTCCTCAAGGTTCATATCTGACTGTTACCATTTTAACTTGAGACCTGAATAGAGTAGGGCTGGAGTGCTGGTTTAGGGTTTAACCTCTTTTTACTCAGCTGGAATTCCAGTCTGGATTTAGATACTTGATTGCATGAAATGTGAAGCACACAAAATCTGTAACTTTCCATCTCATGTTATATTGTTATAAAAGCATGCCTTCTTAGATTACAGTCAATTTGAGATTCATGTAAGTGTCATAAAATGTTCAACGTAACTCTAATGCTAACGAAATTCAGGGATATTTCTTACTTTCTCTCTTTTTTCTTCCAATTTAACAACTAATCGTGTTCCCTTTCATCTTTCATTTTCAGTAAACCCGTTTTCACTCTGTTGCTTTTAAACTGTTTCCTGTTTATCTCTGTCTCATCCATTACTCCAGCAGTTCATACCAAACAACAGCTGTTCGTCAGCAACAACAAAGATTATGGTCACAGATTTTGAGGACACTGCGACCCTGGAAAGGCTGGTACAGTTTTCCTCTAGTAGGTGTAGTGTGGTCGGTCTGCCAGGTGGATGCGCCGCTGCATTCCTCTCTGTTATTGGTGGATGTGGGCTGGAGGCTCCTGTTAGTGTGTTTGCTGTGGATGGTGATGGGAGGTGGTGTCTATGCCCTGAGGTACTGCCTGCGGCCAGGACACAACCAGGTGAGCGCAGCCACCTGAACTGAATCTTGACCCTGTTGATTTATTTCCTTGTATTATGTTTATTCAGTGACTTTCCTTAAATTCAAGGGGGAGCCTCCACTGAGGACACAACCTGAGGTTATGACTGAAAATAGGAATAACCAATATTCATGGTGAGACTTGATTTTACAGTCATTCCTCCATTATTTAATATATTATAATATATTTTTTTACAGCAGATGGAGAGGACAAAAATGTATCAAACACCCTAAAGACCAGATTTTAAGGACACTACATGCATCAGGAGTTTCCTTTCCTCAAGGGAGCCACATGTTGCCCAACACCTCAGAGCATAGAACGGCTTCTACAGATGTCCATTTAAAAATCTGCTATATCCATATCATGGGGAAACATTTAAACCTAAAATGTCTTCATTATCAAACCTGTTTACAATCAAATGTTTTTATTTAATTATTTACAAAAATATTATATATGTACTGTTTTTTTTGTTATATTTATAACAAAAAACAGTACATCTGTATTTTAAGGGACGATGATGACATTTATAAGAATCTTCATTTTACCATTTTCGGATCTACTATGTACTATCTATGTACTCACGTCTGTTGTTTAAAAAGTATATTGTCACAATTTTCAAAATGACAAAAATATAATATGGAAAAAAAATGTGACAAATAGTTTTGACTCATAAAAATCATAATCTTTTCCTTATTTCTGTAGGATGTCCCAGTCGAGGAACCTTGGCCACAACGTTTCTCTGGCCCTTGCCCTGGCCGATGGCCTGCTGCTGTGTGTGCTTCAGGAACCCTTGCTAGACCCAAGTGTGCTGCACATAAAGGCTCTCCTCTACAGGCTGGAAGTAAGTACCTTCCCTCCCACAAGCAGCCTACAGCAATACCAGTCATCTCCCGTGTTTTCAGTGAGTCTTTGCATGTAGATCAGTCTAAAGTCTTTGTTGGTGTTATTACAGAGATCAGACCTTGGACTCAGGCATACACAGATATTCTAGCCCGGGGCAACACATACCATCACTGAGCTGCTGTCATGTGTACTTTGAATCAATCGGACTGGCAGAGGAGAGAAAGTTTAATGACTTTTCTCCTTATGTATTTCCTGTCTGCGTTTTAGCACTCGCTATGAATATTTCTCTATGATAGTCGTATCAGTGAGTCCGTCATCCTGTTGGTCTTTTGGTGCAACGCTTTGTTGTAGAGAGAAATAGTTAAAGTATTGAATGGGCTGCCAAGAAATATGATGCAGACAGCTGCAGTGGCCAAACGATGAATTCAGAAGACTTTCTTCCCCTTTCTTTTTTTTTTTACTTAATACTAGCTCCCCCAGCAAGACAGCATTTTGAGTTGTACAGCTGTGAGCTTAATTCATACAAATGCGTTGACATGCTGGGCTAAGAACACTGCCTTTCCTTCAGGCACCAGCCTCGGGCTAAACTTTTTTTGCCCAGAGCATTACAGCATAAAAAGGACACTATCGAAACTTTTTGTCTCATATTCCTCCTTCTAGCGCTTGTGCTGCAAGGCCATGTATCTTTTAACTGTCAGGTGTTGCAGTTTATTATACATTGTTTTTGGTCTCCTTGTTTTTTTTTTGAATGTTCCAAAAATGTATTTTTAAATCTCAATTGCAGAATCAGTATTGTTTTCAATGCTTTTTGGCATTTTTAAACTGTATCAAAATACATCACTTATGTGTATACTGGTATATCAACTGCATGTGTAGAACAGATGTGCCAGTGGAGAATGGACATAAAATACAACAAGTAGATTCCTGCAAGTTATCTTCAACTCTTGAAGTTTTATATGACAGCATTATGCGCAAATAAATTAATATATGACTTTTGTTGGCTGTTTATATCCCATGTGCTGGACAGCCACATGATGCCTACATTTTGCAGAGGTAGTTAAAAGTGCTTCTACCAAAAAAACCCACAAAACTAAACCCACCCCTCTCAATCCTCTCTTTTTCACTGTAGTCAGTGTCTCTCATAGTTGGGAAGGCTGATATTTGGTCAGAGGTGACACTGAAGAAGGTGGAACAAGAATCTATACTAATAGACAAAGTGAATCTCATACGCACCTACCTGCAGCAGAGGTGAGGTTCAACATAGTGTACATGTTACCTGCTTTCTTGGAAACTTCATCCAGCCAGATAAACACTGCACAATCCTCTCTGACAGGACGAGGTCACTGTGTAGACTCGTCCAGGTGCAAGGGGCTTTTGAAGCCAGTGTGAAGGAAATGCTGGAAGGCCTACACGGCCTCTGGGCTCAGCTGGAAGAGCTGCACATGGGGGTCACGCTCACCAAAGAGGGAAGCCGAGGCCACAGAGACCTGGCCTTGGCCCAGACAGACGCAGAGGTAAGCAGGTGTGAAGGTCTTACTGAAGTTCTGTGGTGCCGGTATTATAGTGTTGGATTTGTTTTAATTTAGATTTCAGTCAATATTAATTACTTTTACAACTTTTTAGTCACAACAAAGAAATATATTCTTACCAGATTATTTCCATAGTTAAGGCTGGCCTACAACGACAACAGCTGTCTTCTTAGTTTCGTTTAAGAATCTTGGTGATTTGCGTTGTTGTTGGCTTTGAGTGTTTAAAAAAATAAATGTTATAATACTCTTATGTGTTTGGCAAAGACTTTGTTTGCAGTGTTGGGTCATTACAGGGACAGACTTCAGTGCTGTCAAATTCATCTGAAGGACAGCACACAACAACTGCAGGTAAAGTTCTCCTCATGCATTCAAAATCCACTTTCATATATTTTGTGCCATCTTCACTCAAAAATTGCCTCTGCAATTTCACAGGAGTTAACCTGGAGTCACACTCACATAAGCAACAGGATGAGCAGCAACAGTGAGTCCGTCTGGCCAGAACTGTTGCTTCAGTCCAACATTGAACAGGTATACTTAACACTGCCTGGTAGAAAAACAGCACAATGTAATGTTTTCATGGGTTTAGAGTTCCACCAGGACTAAAAACACCTCTCTATTTGCAGTTTGACAAGGTGCAGGAGAGTTTCCTCTCCCTGGAACAACAGACCTCTACTTTCCAGGCCCACCTGGAGGGCCTTGGAAAGGAGAAACATGCAAACGTCTCTCCACAGACTTCCCTACATCTCCACAGTGGATGTACAAGTGATGTGTCACTGGAGCAGTGTAACTCAACCTCTGCATCCACGTCTGTCTCCTCAATGGATGCAGACACAGACACAGAAACAGACGCTCCTCTTTCACTGTGTGAGAGGTCGGCTTTGCATTTGTCCTCCACTATCGGACGCATGCGTAAATCTGGACAGAGGAAGTGACTTTGATAAAAGTATGTGAATTGAAAGGTTTAAATTAACATGATTATAATATTTTCAAATGTTGATCATTTGCTGGTTGCCCAAAACTTGGTTATTTATTGCTGTCTGTGATTACATTACTGTGTTTTACTACTCCGCTTTCTGTTTTTTTTAAATTGCTTTTATATTTTGCTTATAGTTTTCATTAGAAAGACTGACTGTTTTTAACTTTTTTAATTCAAAGAATATTTCTAACACATGGGGGCACACTTTCACCACTTATTACAAGCAGAAACATCTCACAGCACCACTTCAACATACAGTACTTATACCTTATAGTTATCTCAGACCTCTGTCCGCAATGACAGACCATGGCCCCGACCTTTTTTTCCAATCAACTTTATAGGAAGAAAGTGTTGGAGAGGCCTCCCAAACATGTGGCCCATAAATGTGTTTCTTCTGGATCAGAACAGTCAGACAGAACTTGTTGAATGAGATGCAAGTCTTTGTACCAAAGTTTTACATTAAAAGGTTTTTACATTTATCTATGTTTGTATGTCAGAAGTATGTTTTTTTTATGTGCAGGAGAAATAGGTTACAAGTTAAGAAATCCCAGACTTTTTTTCTATTTTTAGTTCTGTCTCTCTCGATCAGTGAGTGACCGCGTTGACTTGAGCCCTTCAAAGCAGGGATTTCAGATTGATGTGGGGAGAAGTGGGCAGTGGAGGTCAACGCTGGAAGCTTTTCGGTTATTACTAAAAACTGAGCAGCTCTCTAGACCTTTTTGAAAAATATGAGTGTCTTTGATCCAAATTCAATTACCTTACAGCTTCAACACTGATGGCATGGAATCATCATTTTCTCCACCAGATTCCTGACTTTTCTGGCTGGAGCAACAGGATTTCTGATGAGAACCAATAACTTCATAGCTGCTGTTAAGAACTAACTGTAGGGAGTCTGTACAGTATGCATGACATGGATGTCATTTAACCATGGACTTGCCTGCCATCTGCTTGATTCCCTCACACTGGGGCAGTGATTGGGAGAGGTGGGGCTGACCCATGGGGGATCTGGGATAAAAGGAATGTAAGCTGAATGCTGCAGGATCCGAGCTGTCACAACACCAAAGACACAAACAAATCATGTCTGGATGGATAGAGGGATGTAAAGACAGTGGGAGGAGAGATGTTGTGTATTTGGTAATTTGAAGTTAGTGACAGCCACATGAATATGTAGTTACATTTTCCATGGATCAGTCCTGAAAACACAGAACATAACGCTCTTGGATGCTTGCTTACAATAACAATGACCACATTTGCTTTGAGGTCCAACATACAAAAGACAACAACAGCATTTTTTGAACTGATTTATTAAGTGCTTTGATAAATGACTACGAGGGGGGAGTTGATTTTATTAGATGTGAATAAAACAGTACTTCGAAATACAAAGCAAGCCCCGCTTAATGAGCTGGTGGGGAACATCCTGGTCCTGTCCAGATGAACTCACGCCTCACATTGCTGGCATGTGATGTCATAGCCAGCAGAGGGACGGAGTCTGGGAGAGCACAGGGCACCAGCTATCTGCTGGCTGAGAATGTAAGAGTGAGCTGATGAAATTACCAGAGGCTTTGTTTAGTTACACTAAAAAGTTGCTGACTAGCTTCCACACTCCAGTCCTGGAGAAGAGGCTATTTCAAAGCTAGCTCAAGTGTGTGTTGTTTCAGAAAATATGGTTCATGGCAGAGGTCAATCCTTCGCCTTATCCTGACAATTACTGAAGATCAGGTTTCCCTGGCGTACACATAGCACTCATTTGTGCTGATCCCTCCTCTGATGTCACTACAAGACACCATACAGTAGTATGGACGGCTGCTATCCGATTTCAACAAACTCCCTCTGTCACAAAACTTTCACGAGAGCACAGTTAAATAAACTACCTCAAACTCCCATTAAGATTTAAACGGAGACTTACAAACACAAAAAGATTCAGACAAAAGCACACAAAGTCAATATGCTAAATTGTATTCAATAAAATGGTGAGTGTGGTATAATAAGTATCAAAAGGATAAACATACACTGTGCCACCAAATAAAGACAAGAACAGCTAAACAGGCTTTAACTATGAAGAATGATAATGGACGGTTTACACAGGGGTGTTTAGTACTCAGTAATGGATAAAAAAATAATTGTTAAGATGGAGATTTTGTGTAGTATAGAGCCACTTGCCACATGTTTCCAGTTTGACATGATCGCAGTAAATAAAAGGAGAAAAATAAAATACAGGCTCAACGTTCATCTCATTTTATTAAGGTTTATATTTATATTTGGTTTATGCAAAGTAATTTTATGGTTTTGTGGGGCTGTAATATCTGCAAAAGGTATCAACCTCAGAATACACAAACAAAATATTTTTTCAGCAAATGATACATGTACAAGTTCACCAGAAACTTAACTAACACAGAAGATGCATGTTTATTTCAATGATGGCCATTTAGGTAATTTCCTGAATTGTTAGGACACTCACAACACTTTCCTTTGTTCAACATGTTTGTGCCAAAAAAGTCTGCTAGCAAATGTCCGCTCTGTGTTATTAGCTGGAGGCTCAATGTGTACTTTTCTTTATTTTGATTACAGTCAAGAACTTAGCAGTGCTGGTCTGTAAATCGAATGTAAGACTTTGTACAAATCGCAAAGCTCTCCTTCTGAATCACAAACCACATGCATGGCTTCCATTTAAGGGCTGGACACTGGAGGGCCATGCCACTTTTTTCCAGAGGCTGTTGGAAATGGAAAGGACAGCTGCACAGTGAGACAAAACATCAAAACACTAGCCACAGATGTACGCAATTAGCAACATGGTAGACATTTGGGGAGCAAAGGTCCATAAACTTGCAACTTATTATGGTTGATCTAACATAGCTGGAGGGATGCTTAAACTTAACAACATTAATGAGCTTTAAGTTTGGGTTGTAACATTCCACCATCCGGGAATGTCAAGGAAGACTCTACTCCTCCTCAAATCTTTCTCAAACCTTTAATGTCAGTATTCTGTTCTTATACAAAATCCACTTAGTCCACTTAGTGCATGTGTATATGTGTGTATGCAGCATGTGTGGATATGTGTGTGTGCAACAAATATGCTCAATGTGTTTCCAATCATTAGGAAATTCTAAGCTTCCTGTTTGTGTAAATATTTTCTTACTTTGTTTTCCAAGAGAGCGGGGTAGAATAATCAAGACTGACCTCTCTGCCCTCCTGTTTCCCATTTATCACGTGGACGCTGCTCACCTTCTGCGTCGACACTGCTGAGACCAGAGGTAGGAGCCTGTCATGACCTGTCACTGGCTGGTGCGAGAGTTTATTCAACAATGGATGGAATCTCAAAATGTCATGAGCAACAACCATTGATACCAATGGGTAACAGCTGTGGGGCCAGTTTAAACTCAGCATTGTCAACTTTTAAACTCCATGCAAAGACAAAAATAAACTTTACATTCTTTCAGATAAGTGCCAATATCTCTGATTAACAACCATCATTCCAGGGCTTGATAAGATATAGTTGTATTTGAAAAATGAGTTATACTACATTTGAAAAAGAATGACTCAACATAAGTTGTTTGTGAAGTTAAAATCTCAGATTCCTTAAGATTTAGCTGTCTGCAACTGTGAGATATTACATGATAAATCTTTCAGCCCAGTATTTTTCTTAGCTTTTTGAAGTAATACCCTAAAAATCTCAGTATCCAATGCATCATCTGTCTGTAGTCTTCCATTTATGTTTTATTACTAAATGGTACTGGAAGCTTGATTTCTCAATATTCCTCCCAAAGAAATAAACATTTTTAGAGGCATACTGTGACCGAGATGCTGGGGCCAAGAATTCTGGATTTCTTTCTTTTGGTTGCTTGAAAAGTTTGTGATCATATCCCTGAACTAATTCCTGATTTAAAGTTACACTAAAATAAAATACTGGCGTAATGCACCTTGGGATTTGTTTTCTCAATTATGTCAGAGACACTTTCATCAAGAAATTGACCATTTACAGCAAATGTTTCTAGATATGGCAGAAAATAATAATCTGAGCAGGGAAGAGGTTTCTGCTGAGAGAGCTTTTCCCCACCAAAACAGTATTAGCAAAGAGCACATTAGAACCCCCCAAAATCAGAGCCACTGCGATCCACAATCCAGAATTTGTGCAAGCATGTTGCATTTCCCTAGAATTCTAGAAAAGCCTTTTTATCTGAGATATAGCTCAGACAGAATACCTCAGTTAAACATACAGCAGAATATTAACAGTACCCAGATTCAATTGAAATATTCTTAACTAAATGTAGTAGTAGTTGAGAAGAAAGCACCATCACCTCTTGTTTTAAAACGTGTTCTTGGAACAGTTAAAAGGTCTCGGCCTGAAGACCTCAGAGAGCGACCAGAAGTGTGTGCTCTATTGGATTGAGATCTGATGACTGTGGAGGCCATTGGAGTACATTGTCATGTATAAAAAACAAGTTTGAGATGATTTGAGCTTTGTGACATGGTGCATTGTCCTGTTGGAAGTAGCCATCAGAAGATGGGTACTCTGTGAACATAATGGGATGGACCACACCACGTTTAAAGTCACTTAAATCCTCTTTCTTCCCCATTCTGATGCTCGCTTTGAACTCAACATGCATTGAGTTGCTGCCATGTGATTGGCTGATTAGCTATTTGTGTTAACAAGCAATTGAATAGGTGTACCTAATAAAGTGGCCGGTGAGTGTATAAAGCAATTGTAAATGTAATGAAATTTAATATAGATTAACTGTCATAGGAGAGAATTCCTGAAAGCATGAAAGTGTTTGCTTCAAGACAAAAGCAGTCAGACTAACACAGAGGCTATAAACAACTGTTAAACAGATTATCTAAACCACTTAAATTGGAGACAAACAACAAAGGTAAATGTGCCTTAAAAGTTAGTCAGTATTCCCTCATTACCACGAAAACTGTGTAAACCAATTACAGCAAGTATGGTAGGTTAAAGTTGAGTCATGAAGTTGGATTTGCCTTTGTTTTCTCTTCCAAATGAGTTTTACTAACCTTGGGGTTTGTTTAACACCAGTGTGATTTCCTGACTGCATGTGCTTTGTCAGACATCTTTTGAAAGATATGTTCCAATATCATCACAACTAACTTTGCGCACCTTGAGTACAACGTCATTATTACTGATGGGAATGATGGCCAAATTAATGAACATAAGATCCATGTAATAAAATGGAATTGTACAACAGTAACCAAAGTCCAACATTATCCATAACCAGCTTCTCAAGCACGTATTTGTTTTTTTTACTTCCTCTCTTTCTCTCCCCTCACCTCTCAGAGCTTGAGCATGTTTCTTCGGTCCTCTGTATGAGGCACCAATGTGTGAAGCAGCTTTCTGAGGAAAGGCTAAACAAACAGGCTGGCCCATGCACAAAGAGTCCGCCACTCAGAGACATGTGGCAGCAAAACCCTCTTAGTCCACGTCCCCACCCCCCCAGCCACAACTCTGAACCCCTCACACTCCTACCCTTCCACATACCCTGATCTTGGAGCCAAGAGAAGGAAAGATGGAGGAGGAGGAGGGGGAGCAAATTCTGATTCCTATTCACTGAATGTCACCACCTCACAAAGGGGACCGCATGACACTGCCACTAAATCAGAGTTAATGGACTCCTTTCTCAGTCCTGCGAACATGACAGGGGGCGTGTGTGTGAGAGTAAGGGGGTGTGGGAGAGGGACGGGGGCTGGTGAGGATGCCTGTTTGCCCCATTGAAGGGGCACATGGGCCAGTGAGCCTTGTGTGATATAGTGAGAGCAGATTGGTGAAGGACGTGTGTTTTCCAGGGGCATTAATAGCTAGCCTAATGGAAAGTGCCGTGTCTAATTCAACGCTTGTTTTATAATTCAGAGGCTATACTGACTTGCATTCTCTAAATTGTTAGTGATTTAAAAAAGGTGAATGTTAATCACATGGTTTGTTTGACTGATCTGTCACAAAGCTAATTTGTGTGTAAGAAGCATCAATCACAGGCCACTTTAACAGTAAGCACAACACTACACAAACCACGTTGGTGCATAGGCAATCCATCAAACTGCTAAAGTGACAGTACTGGCAGCACCATCCATAGGGCTTGTGGGGCGATTGTCGATTTGCATGTGAACACTTATTTCACACTGAGGAGCCAGACTGGGGGACAGCAATTTTGGAGCCGTTTGTTATCTTCCCTACAGGGCAGAACCTAATATGAGTAAACCCTCCCACCCGGCAATCTCGCACCCCATCCCACGCTCAAAGAGTGCAGCTTGGAGGCCAGGGTGGAGATGAGTGAAGATGGCATTAGTGTCACTTGGCAGGCATTCATAGCCACCTCTCCCCCCGCCTTTGAGTGCAGATGAGATACGGAGAGACAGA